TTATTGTATAAAAATTTGATGAGATTCAATTACTTTATGATCTAAGAAATGTTTTAATATTTATTGTTTTATATTATTATGATTACTTTGAACATTGTTCTAAGTCTTATTATAAGGAACATTCAAGATTATAGGCAATAATTTCACCTTTTCTTACAATAAAATACGTTTATTAAGATAGGTCATACGGTGCAAAATATTACCTAATTGCACAACACCTACTATCTAACAAAGGGCACATCATATAATCTAAACCATCGTACACTATAATTAATATTATTATACAACATCGATTGTTAATTTTACACACTATAATCAATTATTGTTTTGAAATACGAAAGTATATTTGAATCAATGTTTGCAACAACTGTTTTGATCGTCGAATTATTTAGTATTTAAGAATATTGGAAAATAGTAAAATTGATTCGCCCATGGAATGTGGTTTTACATTAAACGAAGGACAATTTTTTTTTCAACAATACTGTTTAAAATTCAATTTACATGTATAATTTAATCTGTGAATTATGGTAATTTTTGATATGAAAAAAAAATATACACTACGATTCGAAAATTCTAATTTCATTCATAATCATTTTAATATTCAACCAATGAATAAAAAATAAAGTATCCAAATTCTTGGAACGTATTAAGATTGCAACATTTTTGTTAAATATCAATTAGTCTAATTTATTTCTAATAATTCATGACATATATAAAAAATATACATATATAAATATTTTTATTGGGACAAATCCAATCTCTTTTTTATTTAATTTTCAAAAAGTGCAGTATTCGCCTACTTTGGGAATTTGTAAGAGTCTCTTTTATATTATTTTTTTATTATGATGATGATAACTTATTACTTATCAAAATTCGTAAATTGTATTTAAAGTAAATTATTATATTTCAAGATTTGTATTATAAAATATGTATATTTTAACCAAAGTCATTCTGATTTGAGTCGTTGATTCTTTAAGAAACTAAGTTTTAAAAGTAGCAAACTTAAATTTCTTTGCATTTAGTTATTTTACAGAAAGTAATGTAAATGCAAAAAATAAGTAATGAATTGTCATTAAATTGACAAACTTACGGGCTTTAAATCTTTCCTATTGTTCAAAATTTAGCGATATATCATGAAAATATCATTTTACCGTTTGCAGATAATACTACAGGTTAACTTGCAAATGATGTGTGCAAACAATCCGGGTTTGTCACAAAGCCACTAATCGATGAGGAAAAGTGAAATCCTCATGATGTTCTAGTGCAAAGATCTCATATTCCTTTTGTCGCCTTTTCTATTATTGTTGTTGCTTTCGATGTTGATGTTGTTGTTGTTGTTGTTTCTGCTGCACAAGAGATGTTTATCTGCGAATGGTAAACGTGACACCAAAACGAATCTCGTGGGATTCATAAATTATTCCGCGTTCATCTAATTTCTTTCTTCTTCGACTCTGTCGTTGCCGTTCGATTTGGTAACCCGTAATTAAATCGTTATTTGGAACATCGGAGCGTTTCTATTAGGATTCAGCGCGAGTGTCTCTTTGGGGAGGAGATCGCCGTAAGAATCGAAGTCGTGACTCCTAGCCCATCGAGCTGGGCGAAATGGATTTCCTGTGAATTGTTCCATTATTAAAATGGTTTTATAGGCAAGGTTCCGATTTTCCACGGACTTCGTCCCACGCATCGATTAATATCCGATCGACGATTTCCATTCAATACTCTCCTCACTAATGAGGCAATAAATCTGCGCGAAACTCTCCACCATCCGACGTCGTTGGACCGCTTTTATTACACGTGCCATTCCCATATGCATCACCAACCAAAAATTTTGTGCAGAAACGTCGCAACCTTGTGACCTTCACGTATCGTATTGCCGACGGTAATGATGTCCATCCACTTCCTGCATTTGGAAGCTCGCTCTTCGGCTAACGGTTCGACAGCTCCTCGTAATTTGATCGTAATTAATTTCATCTTTATTTTCCACATGCTCTGACACAATTTCAACGTTTCAATGGAAACTGGACGTTGCGCAATCCAGAAGTGTCGCGGCGCACGGTATATACGGGTAGAAACTAATAGGTCCTCTTTTTTCATCTTTTCAAATTAATTAAACGTGAATAGACTGGAGAGGACACCGGAATAAAAATAAACGACACGAAGGCACGGAGTAATTGATATAAAAAAAAGTGAAACACGTACTCTCGGATATCTTCGATGGGAATCTTCTCTAATCAGCGGGATTCTTTTGAATCTTCGTTGTCGGAAATATTTGACATTTCTTAAGGGAAAAGAATTTTATAAAAAGCACTCTAATTGTCTTAAATTTTAATTTAAGTACTACTTTTAAACTTCTTTTCATGAAACTATTTTCAAAATTATATTAACTTCTCGAATTAATACAAAACCATTCGTACTCATGACAAAAATAAATACATTTTTTATTTTGTGTAACTTTAGTGCATTTGTAAAAGAAAAAGTAATAATTTGAAAATCAGCATAATCTTTTTATTATTCTCTTTAGGATTCGAAATTTTAATTGTATATTAGCATATATTTATTATTCTGAAATTACTGAACACGAAATAATAGGAATTAATAATTATTTCCTATGAATATTTAGTACCTCACCACAAACCTATATGTTTTATTATAAAAATAATATAATCATCAAATATGAAAAACGACAAGTTAAATATTTCTGAAGAGAATAATAATTTGAAAACTTAAATTTATTACTTTTTTAAAATCATAAATTTAACTTGAATAGATGAATAAAAAGACCTAAGTCTTTCCGCCAATTCATGCTAAAGATTTTGTTAAAAAAGCGATTTATTTCAAAATTTTATTAAGATTTCTTTTATGTATCAATTTCTAATTATATTAATTATGAAAGATAAATATAATATATTTAAATAACTGTTTGAAATGATCAGGGAAAAAAATGTTACGTAAATTTATTATCCGACATTGAAACAAGTAACACGATATTTCAATGCTATCCGAATGATTTATAAATATTAATATTTCATTTTCGTAATTGAATAATCGTGCTCGAATGGATTCGGGATCGAAATGTGACGCAGACGATCTGGAAATGGATAGTCTTATGCAATGCACGAGGAAAAAACAAACATTACCTCGATAACTATGCAATATTTAAAACTCTACATAATTTCAATGTCTCGTTTTTAATAGATTCGCTATTACGCGGCAAGTTTACATCTTCGTTTTTGTCGATGCACCTTCTCAAAGTGCGTATCGAGATTTGCGCTTCAATGATATTGCATTCCATCTAATCGGCGATGATGCAACGCGCACGTGCTTCGTTTTTTTGTTGTTGTTGTTGTCTTTGGAAATAGAATTCTGGAGATTTACGGTTGCTGGATGTGAATGGGCTTACATCGCGAACTCCACAATCTGGTGGAAATATTGTTGGTAATCCAAACCGTATGTCTTAGAGTCGAGTTACGGGGCCGCCGTTGTAGGCGTGCTGCACATTACATCCTATTTGGCGGTTTATTAACTTTACGTTGAGGAAACCCGATGACATTAAAGATTAGTGCTGGAAGGAATAACGCCATATGTTTGAGCATCGCATTCGCAGTTTGAAGTAGCTTTTAAGGAATCGTAACTGATGATAAGATCAACAAAATGATACTTTTAAATATAATTAATGGATTTAAAGAAACTTTCATAAAATATAACAGTCAAATTATTGTTTATGTTAATGGACCAAATTCTTAAGTTTCAATAAGTAATCATTAATTATATACGTCTAATAAATTGTATTACGTTTATTTATAATATGTTAAAGTAATATTCAAATATGAGTATAGTAGTATAGTAAATATCTAATATGTATTTTCAATTGTAATCTCATCATTGGATCGAATGCACTTAAGAAACGTAAAAGTAGTTATTGGGAACAAATTATGTTGCTATTTGAAACTCTAGACTTGATGCATGTTATGGATCAGTTAGTTCGCAAATACATGCGTGTTCATTCGCGAAGAACATTATACATCATATATAAAAGAAAATATCACGTATTTAAAATTTTAATCCAAATATAGTTCATATGTCTTAAATGCTGAATTATATATGATATATTCCAGTTGGTGCACGATGTTAGTATTATTTATTTCTTAGTGGCAAGTATACTCACAATATGTTTAACACAAAGGTTTTCATATTTTGCAACTGCACTGATAGATGTACCAAATGCATATTACGATATCTAGTCTTTAACTAACAGCTTGGTTATATAATCTATGATAGTATTGTGCATTTATTAACAAATGTGATCAATACAACACATGGTCGGTTAATTTAATAACCGCAGCTTTGACAGTAAATAATATTTCCTACTCTAGTGCCAATTTGTCATTCTTTAATATGATTTTTTAAATAGGTAATCTTAGCATGACACATTTGGGGAATAAAGTTGTGGGTGTCAGGTTTATTGCTCTATTACAAAAGATTCGTACTTAATCAGTTTATCAGCTATTTCATTATCCCTTCTTTATGTTTTGCGCAACGGGAAATTAACAATTGACAATACTCGGAACTAGTTCCACCTATTTGAAGATTAGTTTGGATGTGTTAAAGCAATGTTTTTACATGATGGTAAATTATAAGGATGCACCGAGTGGTTGTTCTAATCGTATTTCGTTCCCGTTTCTGTAGTCAAATATAGTACGACCACTTAAAAAGGCAGTTGAAGACACTTAAGCTGGATCTGCCGGAGCTTAATTGGTACAAATTTACATCGATTCTAAAAGGTCAACGTTGCGGGCCGCATTATCTTGTTGAGCCCACGCACTCCCCCGACGTGCATCATTTGTTTTGGCTGCAGTCTCCTCCTTCTTGCATCCAGAAGCGATCCTAATTCACTTTTAATTGATTGCCTGTCACTGCCCTCATCATAAAACAAATCCACTTCGAATTACCATCAAATTGATGCACATGCTAAATGATATATTTCTTTCCTCTTGTTTCAGGCGCACGTCGTTTCCGCCTTCGAGCAGAGCCTGTCTTCTATGACCCAGAGGCTTCAGCACTTAACGGCGACCACGGAGAAGAAGGTAGCTATAATTTTGTGCGAGAGCACCAGATGAAGAACGAGAGTTCTCTCTGTTGGATCATTAGTTTTAACGATGAACTTCTTTGCAGGACTCGGAATTGTCGGAGTTAAGGCAGGCGGTGGAGGCGCTGCGGGCGCAGAGTATACAAGCAGGAATCGGAAGCGGCTTGGCCAGGCAGCCCTCCTCCGACAGCGTGTCCAGCTTGTCTTCTGCCTGCAGCTTGGACAAGCAGGACAAGAAGAAGAAGAAAGGATGGGTTCGTTCTTTGAATGATCATCGGCAGCCAGGATCGAATAACCTATTTAAATTGCAGTTGCGCAGTTCTTTCACGAAAGCCTTCTCGCGTAACGCCAAAGTGACGAAAGTGCAGTGCCAAAATGAGGGCGTCGCGGACGGCGGCGATCGCCAGCAGCCGAGTCCGCCGCCCCCGGCGCCCACGGACAGCGGCCTCGAGGTGGTCGAACTCCAGAAGCAGCTGCGCGAGAAGGATCTCGTCCTGACGGACATCCGGCTGGAGGCGCTCAGTTCCGCCCATCAATTGGAGAGTCTCAAGGATACAGTCATGAAAATGAGGGTAAGCATCATCGCCTAATACAAACAGCACATGCTACTCAAAAACAGGCTACTCGCTACGCGACATTTACCAAGTAAAATTTGGATATAAATCCAAGTACTTACGAAATAATAATAATATTTCTTAAAGAATTAAATAGTCATAGAAACTGTTGATCATTTTAAGCATTGCAAATAATATATTTAATAGTAAAAAAATAGATTTATCTGATTTGTAGCAAAATTCTTAAGGAATGGCCGATATTTCTCTAGTAGAAGTCTCTATTCCGTTATTTCATATTGTGTACATTTTTTATTGTTACACATTGATCCAGCGTTTCCTTTTTGTTCTTGCAAATGTGACCACCTGCGTTTACTGCTTCCTTCATTATTCACTTCCCGAACTGCGATGGCTGTTATTAAAGTGCGTCTTTTATTTGCAGAGCGAGATGTTGAGCTTGAAGCAGAACAATGAACGGCTTCAACGGATGGTCACCGGTGGACCGACGCCTTCTAATGGGGCTCAAGCACCGCAACCGGCTGTCCAAGAGACCATTACGAATAGCAACAGTATGGATCCTCTGAACGATTTGATTCCCACCGAAGAGCCCATGCAGGAAGCGGAGCCTGACGGCAAGCGCATCACCATCTCAGTGTACCTGGGACAACCGCAAGGCTATAGGAAGTACTACGAAGAGCATTACGAAAACGACGGAGACGGTGTGAATGCCACAACGGAGATTGCAATTGCATATACTAGCGTCGGCGCCGCCACCTCCTGGGGTCAGCTTGATAATGCAGTGCGAAGAGCTTTCAAGCAGCACGTGGCGAGATTGGATCCGGGAGGTGGTTTGGGTCTGGGAAGCGATTCCGTGGCTATGTACAAGTTGGGAGACGCTGAAAGGGCTAGCGAATCGCATCCTCCTGATCTGCTACCCGTGGGCTACGTCGTAGGACATGTGAATACTCTGCATATAGTGTTACAGCCAGTGGCGGCCCTCGCATTTGAAGCCCTGATACCTAAGGGTGTCGCGCAACGTCTCGTTTCACTTTTATCAGAACATCGGAGATTAGTTCTTTGCGGAGCACCGGGAACGGGGAAGAGCCATTTGGCTACACGATTGGCCGAATTCCATGCGCAGAGCTTGGGCAGAGATCCCGCTGAGGCTGTAGCCACCTTCAACGTGGACAACAAATCCGGAAAGGAGTTGAGACAGTATTTAGCGCATCTTAGTGAACAAGCCGCAGCTGGTGATAACAGCGTCTTACCCTGCGTCGTAGTGTTAGATAACCTGCACAAAGCTGGTCCTTTGGCGGATGCTTTAGGATCTCTACCGAGGAATCTACCATGTCTACTAGGTAAAGCACAAACATCATCATGTTGCTCAAACAGTTTATTAACGTATTATTTCTGATGCTTAGGTACTATGGCTCAATCCACGTGTTCTGCAACCAGTTTGCAACTGCAGCACGGTTTCAGATGGGTGCTGGTCACTCCACACATGGAACCTGCCCGAGGTTTGTTGGGCAGAGTGTTGAGAAGGAGATTAGCAACTTTGGAGCTTGAGCAAGGACCGCAACCCGAGCTGGCCGCAATTTTAGGATGGCTTCCCAGAGTCTGGCAGCATCTAAATGCCTTCCTGGAAACTCACAGTTCCGGGGATGTTGCTATTGGACCCAGGCTATTTTTAAGTAAGTGTTATACACATTAATACATTTTCAAAGAAGAAAAAACAGTCTGTCTGTCCGTTTTTTATTTCAAGAAATAATATCACTTTCAATATGTTCGTGTTATTATTTTATCATTCATGTTCAAAATTCAAGAAAAAATATTATAATTATGGTACTTTTTAAACATTCTAGTCGAGTGACCACCACAAAATATAGTTTGGTGGGTTCGGCTTTCGAGTTTGTTTTTGTACCCTGGAAAGTTATTTCAACTTCTGACCTGCAAACACAAATGAATGCTTCTTATGCCTGATTATAACAATTCCTTTCTTCGTCCTTTCTATAGAATGTGCCCCTTCGAATTCCGATGAAACATACATTGTGTTAGAATTACAATAATAATACAAATAGTAATAGCAATTATTCTATTAGAATATTCGACAACCATTATTTTTTCAACAATATGAGATCACAATTAGTTTCTTGATATAGTTAAATTTTAATCTATTTTTTTTATTATTATTCGGTATTCTGGTATTCATCTCCGTAAAACTTAAGTTATTACTATAGTGTACTAATTTTGGATTACTATTCTTTCCAGGTTGTCCTTTGGAGTTGGACGCGGCTAGAGCTTGGTTCGCGGACGTGTGGAACTACTCTTTGGCTCCATACTTGAGGGAAGCAGCGCGCGAAGAACTGCAACTGTACGGTCGAAGAGCAGCCTGGACGGATCCCTGCCAATTTATCCTGGACACCTACCCATGGCCAGGAGCGCCACCCCAAGGCCTAACAAGCATCCCCGCTAAAGACGTAGGCTTGGAGACAGGACAAGCAACTCAGGCCGAATCGGATGGAGATCCTCTGCTGAACATGCTGATGCGTCTGCAAGAAGCGGCCAACTACTCGAGCCCCCATTCGAACGATTCAGATTGCAACAGCCTAGAATCCAATCTCACGCACAACAGCAACTTAGGAACAGAAAGCGTCTCCTAAGACACCCATCCAACAGCGTGCTGATATTTGTGATCGTATTTAATTTATCTTATTTATTTCGCCTCTTCGGTCTTATTGTTTAACTGTCCCGTGTAAATTAACCATGAACTAACCCACGAAATTTCTCTCAATCTCGAACGACCGCCTCATCCTGCAGGTGCAGCAGCATTCATTGTTTTTATTAAATTAAAAAACGTATGAGTTTTATTTCTCGATTTCTTAGCAAGTAAGTTCACTGCCAGTTAATTTTAAACTCGAGATTAGCAGAGCAAACGAAGGAGGAAAACCTTCCATTATCTAAATCCAACAGTTAACAGCTACAAATTTACTTTTCATCGCGTAAATCTGAAGGTTTTCCGTTAAAACGACTCTATAGCGTTGAGCATCAGTGTTTTTGCAATTTTGCGCGAATTGCAAATTACACTCGGAAATCAAATCAAAATGATAATTAATTTGTAAATATATGAACAAACAAAAAAAAAGTATATAAAAGAGCGAATCGTATCCTAACAAATAACCAATAAGTGTATAATTGTAAATTGTATAAATGCAGCCTCCAAGTGTAGTGCGATGTATATATTATAAATAATAATGGCATATTTCTACTATGTAATTTTGCTTAACTCAATTACGAATATGTACAAACGCGAAGAAACTCTTTAAGTTTTATTGTAATATCATTAAACAAACAAAAAAAAAACAAACAAACATCAACTTACAAAATTTGTACTGAATTTTATATTCTATATATAAATATATATTATATGCGAAATTATCATTTGTTATCTTGTATGAAAGAATATCATTATCAAAATATATATATATACATATTTTAAATTTTCATTCAACACTCAAGTGTATATCTGGTCAAGAAGATTTTTTTTTGTATTTTAAATTAATATATTAAACTTGTATGTTTTCTTTTTTGTTCCAAATTACATTATATATATATATTTAATAAATTAATATTTTTCGTTTGAGTTTTATATGAATATACATATTATTAATACGTGGAAAAGAAGCGACAGATGAAACATGATTTTGCATACAACTTTTATACCAAAATGTAATAAACTGCCATAGATTTATTATATTGTAAGTACAACAAATAAAATGAATGTTTTATTAATTATTTATCTACAATTTATTTAAACCCAATCATATATAATTTTTATTTTTATTTTAACTTAGAGATTCAATTTTGTTTCCAAATCGTCATAATTTAATATTCCTCATCTTTAAAGTCAAAGCCCATCAATTTTCACTAACACTTAATACATCTTAAAATAGCTTTTATTATAATAAACATTTTCAATAATTCTAATAATTATATAGGTGCAATGTCTAAATATTTATAATTTTATTACATGAATATTGTAGCTTCATCTGAGCCGTGAATAATGTAAGGGTAAGCATCAAATATAATGTTATCATAACTAATCCACAATATTCATCACAATTCATGTATTTTAGAATATATTATGCAATGAAATTATTGTTATTTATATATTTTGAGATCAAATGAATCAATAAATAAATATTGTTTCCTTCAGTTCAAATGAGCCTGTAATCATAATAAAAATATAATTGTAATATGCCACGTTATGGCAATAATCAAATATTTTTGAACGTAAGAAACCAATAAAAATACCAATAAACAGTAAGCTTTTCTCATCAAAAATCTTCCAAATTCAACAAGTGATTTAGAATTTTTTTTAAATATGCACAATTTTCTTAAGTGCGATATAATGTTAAAAACCGGTTATTTGTTAAATTTCTATGATAATTAAGTCAATAATTAAATAATGTGATTCTTCCATGATGATAATTTTCAAACAATAATGTTCGAATTTTATTGTAATGAAATTTCATAACTATACTAAACGGTACAATGACACGTATGATGACTAATGACCAGTTAGTTACTCATTGATACTAAAAGAGACTTTATAGAACGAGATTCTTCATCGATCGTCATTGATGTATCAACAAATTATGTTTTATTTTATACTTAACTAAGTTTTCTATGCTTTTAGATTCCATAAATATGTTAAATATTTTTAAAACAAAAATTGAAGATTCAACATTTATTTGCATATGATCTACATTTAACAATGTACAATTCAATTCAATCATGTAATTTTTTAAGTTAAAAAAAAATACAATTAAGGTAGCAAAACGAAATTTTTACTTATTCTATATAGAAGACAATTAAATGAAAATTACTAGTTTCTAATTAACTTTTACAAAAACAAAAAATAATGAATAGGTTTACGACTACAAACTAACATGACAAAGATAACATTCAAACAAAAACAATTGGTATGTGAACTATATTTCAGTCATTTTAATTTCCTTTAATTGATTTAACCTTTAATTATACATTCATTTTATCAACGGTTTATTTTCAATTTCTTTTTGAAAACACAAACAAACATTGCAATGTATTAATTTTATTAAACAGGCACTTATATTTGATGCAGGAGAAGTTTTCAATAATATTTTTTGCTTCTTAAAATTTAACTTTCCATTTGTTTATGTACTAATATAGTTTTTACGCATTTGTTCTTTTTTTGTAGTATTTATAACTACAATTTACTTGCATTAAGTATTTTTTTTTCTTTTTATTATTTAAATTAGCTATTAATTTAAGCAAGTCCAAAAGCTGCATAAAATCTATATGAAAGGGCAAAGCTTACAGCACTATTTCTACCTCTTTAAACAAATAAACAAATATATAATTCCAATTATTAACATTTTTCACAAAAATATGTTAATAATTTAATATATACAGGTAAAGATGTCAATACAATTCGACTTAAGTAGAGATAATATTGTGGGAAACTTGGAGAGTTCCAAGTAACCATGACAAAGTTTTCTTATTTTAATCATTATAGCACTATTTCTTACTCTTTGGGCACCGAATGTTATATTAAATAAAAAAAACAAATATATAATTCCAATTATTACAAAAATATGTTATTAATTTAATATATACAGGTAAATATGTTAATACAATTCGACTTAAGTAGAGATAATACTATGGGAAAATTGGAGAGTTCCAAGTAACCATGACGAAGTACTTGTACTTAGTCATCCATGAAATATTGGTGTTATGTGAAACCGGCTTTCGTGGTAGGGGGTTGTCGTTTATAAGCATAGGATGGGTTGGCGGCGCCGAAGAACATGGAAGGTTGTCATCGGCCTGTCATTCTCAGTAACAAGTTTACATTTGTGCCGGTCAGAACGTCAATACCCCAAAGAGAAGAAGACGGAGAAGTAACGAACAATGGTCTAGGTTAGTTCGCAGGGACATTAAAACCCGCACAATCGCAAGTAAAAGGATAAGAATTCCATCCGTGGGACAGAAAAACTCCCCATTGTTCTAACCAGTAATTATGCAATTTCGCTCAAACGCCGCTCGCAGGCTCGAACCGTTTCCCGTGTGTGCATTCGTGTTTCAATTGTTTTGATAATATAAACACACGTAAGGAAAAATAAAACAGAGGAAGAGAAAAGTCGCAGTCGTCGCACCAAGTTCGAAGCTAAAACAAACAGACTGAAAATTGTTCCTCTTCTTTATTTCTTGGTAGGGGGGGACAACGACGACTCGGAAGTTTATTTTGGAAAGGTAAACAATTTCACTGTTTATTTGTTCCTCGGTCGTCATTACAATTTACGCCGTACCCTCTGCCCACTACTAAAGATATTTTTCGCATTATCTCTATGCAGATAAACAGCAACAACTAATCTTTATATATATATATTACGTCGTTGTCTCTGTTAGTTGTGTTGCAAGTGTTTTAATATATAAAAAAATTGTTGAGTATACATAATTTTACACTTTTCAGTTGTTGGTGCTAATTGGGTGTACACGAATGTTGTCCGAGTTTTCACTGCAATGGCTGATTTAATTCGTATGGGAAGTGGCCATGGTGCTGGTCTGCTAAAAGATAAGCTGGGTTCACCCAGTACTGGTAGTGAGGATGGCAATGAGCAGGAGACACTGAATGCCAAGCCGGAGACAGATGAGTTGGATTTGGGTGATTCAGTGCCTTATGGACCATCAGAGACCCAATGGTATCATGGTCGGTTGGATAGATACCAAGCTGAGGAAAGGTTGTGGTCTGCATCCAAGTTGGGAAGCTACTTGGTCAGGGAAAGTGACAGGAAGCCAGGATCCTATGTACTCTCCTACCTGGGTAGAACTGGCATCAATCATTTCAGAATCACTGCAGTCTGTGGAGATTTCTATATTGGTGGACGCCAGTTTGACTCACTAAATGATTTGATTGGGTATTACACAGGATGCAGTGATTTGCTGAAGAGGGAAAGATTGGTGCATCCTGTGCCACCACCAGAACCAGTCAATGATAAAAAGGTATGGTACCCCAATTACAATTAACATATTTCATTTACACACAATGCTAGATCATGAGTTTTCGTTTTTCTTTTCGTAGAGAGTTGTTGCTATTCTACCGTATACGAAAATGCCAGACACCGATGAGTTGACTTTCAAGAAGGGCGACATATTCTTCGTTCATAACGATATGGGCGACGGATGGTTGTGGGTCACAGCGCACAGGACTGGAGAGCAGGGGATGATCTTCCGCGAACTGGTCGAGGATCTGGATGAGAGCATCGATCCGAACACCGTCTTCCCTTGGTTCCATCCCAACTGCACGAAGAACGAAGCAGTAGATCTATTGGTGAAAGCAGGTCCTGGCAGTTTCCTCGTGAGACCTAGCGACAATTCACCTGGTGATTATTCGTTGTTCTTCCATATCAACAATCAAATCCAAAGATTCCGTATTGAGAAGAAAGGTGTCCGTTATCTAATGGGAGGCCGCATCTTCGAGTGCCTCGATGCTGTCATCAATAGATACAGGAAAGAGCAGATCGTCGAAGGATATACTTTACAACATCCGCTGGTTGTAGATGGAAGTACCTCTCAAGATTGGGTTCCGGAAACTCCGAAGCTCAAATCGGAGGCGGAAAAGATCTACGCGACGCTGCGGGAGTGCCGCGATCAGATTGGACAGAAGAAAATGCGTGGTATCAAGCACCAAGGATACCTCCACCGGAAATCAGATAAGATCACGAAGAAGTGGAAGCTCCTGTATTTCGTGTTGTTGGTCGATGGCACCGATACACATCTGTATCTGTACGAGAATCCTAAACGCACGAAGCCAAAAGGTCTCATCGACTTGTCATGTGCCTACCTTTATCAGGTCCATGATAGCCTTTGGGAACGACCGCACTGCCTTCAATTGGTCGAGAGGGCTTTGCCCTGCTTGGCCACCGTCACTCACCTGGCAGCACCATCGATAGAAGAATGCCAGGAGTGGGTGAATGCCTTAAAACCTCTTTGCGTGCCACAACTGAGTCGCGCCACCTGCAAGGTATTCATTCCCATATATATCCACTAATAAATCACCGAACTATAAAACGGATTGCTTTCTTAATAGGTACCGAGATTACGAGAATTGCGGTCGTTAACTTTGCACGTGCTCGACGCCCACCGACTGCCATATAAATTAGTGCCACAGCCTTATGTCACCCTGCAATTAAACAACCAAGTGAGAATTGCTCGAACCAGGGCAAAGTCGATGCCCGACCCGGTGTGGGACGAGGAATTCATAATTGAGTATGTTTTGCTTTATTTTACAATTTCGACACAGCAATAACAACTTTTCATTGTTTTAGCGATGTGCCATGTGATATAGTATCATTTACTTTAACAGTCTACAATAAAGGTAAGCGCGGTAAGGATACCGAAGTAGCCGAGTTACGAGTGGATCTATCGTCGTTAGGAAACGGGGAGGAGCGCGAAGAGTGGTACGCCCTCTCCGGTTTAACGCCAATCGGCGAATGGGGATCTTTAAGATTAAGAACTAGGTAAGAATCCTAAAACCAAAAAATAACTTACAAACAAAGCTGATGCATTTTCTGTTGAGATAGGTATTTGCATGACCTGGTGATGCCTGGCGAAGAGTACAGTCCGTTACAACAGCTCTTGCTGGAGCATGGTCTGGCTTCCGTTAAGACTTTGGCAGAGATTTGTCACAGCGACAGAGCTCCGCTGGCCACAGCTTTGCTCAGGGTTTTTAGGGCTGAGGGTCGTGAGTCAGAACTGCTGATTGAGCTGAACTGCGCCGAAGTCGCCAGGGAATCGGAAACGTCTACTCTGTTCAGAGCCGCTTCACTGCCTACCACCTTGATGGATCTTTACATGCGCTCAGAATGCGGTGGATTCCTGAAAGCTGCTGTTTTGGAAACTGTTCTTCGTCTTCTCGAGAGCAAACAGAGTGCTGAACTGAACCCTACTAAAATGGATTCACCAGAAGTGGCCTGTACGAATGCTGAATTTCTGTTAGAAATTCTTGATCAGGTAAATGTCTGCCTTTAAACTGGACAATTTTTATCTTACTTTTCATTTGGAAATCGAATATAAGCTAGGTTTTACGAACAAATATTTACTAACTTCATCACATGCTTTATTTTTAATGTAAAATGATTTTATAGATAACATACAGCATTTTTGTTTCCTTGGATGCATGTCCGAAATCATTGAGATACATCTGCGGAAGACTACAAAAAGCTGTGATGGCAAAGTGGCCGAACGAGCGTTTCGTGCGAACCCGGGTCGTCTCGGGTTTCATATTCTTGCGACTCTTGTGTCCCGCCCTGTTGAATCCGAGACAGTTCGGATTGGTCAGCGAACAGCCGACACCGACGGCCACCAGGAGTCTCGTTATGGTAGCGAAATGCCTTCAAAACCTAGCCAACCTCGTGGAATTCGGCGGAAAGGTATGATTGGAAAACACTGGTATTTTTGAAATAATTAAATATTGGTTTGTCTATTATAGGAACCTTATATGGAGGTTGTGAATCCGTTCATCCTGAAGAATAAGGAGAGGATGGTGGTGTTCATGGATCAGCTGTGTGGTATCGCGGATGTTGGTGAATCCAGGATCACCAGTAAACCGGATACCGCTAAGGAACTGGCCACTTTGCATCACATATGCGTGGCCCACTTGACCGACCTCCAAGCCGTTGCCAAAGTAAATCCAAACATCAAGACCCTTGTGACCGTCACCGATATGCTAAGCAAGCACAAGCAGAAATACTTGGAAATGATCAGTTAATGTATTCCCGCACAGAAGAAGATGATTAAGAAGAAGACGCCCCTTTTCGTTTCCAATCTGCAGAAATAGCAAGTCTTACGAATCCTTTTTATTTATTTCATAGGTCGCATAGTTGAAAGAAAAAAGTTATATAATTATTTATAACTTTATATATATTACACTTAGACTCTCTCGGTTATTCATATAAATATGTATATTGTAACAGCAACCCCTTTACGTGACAATTAGGGCGTTGAAGCTACATTGCCAGAACCCCAAGAAAAAAAAAGGAATAAGTAAAACACCATTTCTCATGGAGATTTGTGATCAATTTTCAAAATAAAACAAAAGTATATATTTAGACAAAGCGAATGAAAAATTAAAAAAATAAGGAACTTTAGGAAGAAGAAAACTACCGTGGGTCGTGATAGGTACATTTTTATAAGTTTATATAAATATAAAAAGAGAAAAGAAACGAGACAAAAAAAAACATAATACGCTAGTAATATTTTTTTATTTAGAGACGATACGAATCAAAAAAAAACTTCTTTTTAAATTTTGACTGTGGAATTAAATAACGAGAATTGAGAAAAAACAATAACTAAGTCAGATGTAGGTGGAGAGCGAGTAAGAGTGGAGCAGCGCTTAGTAGATGTAGCGATTTGTGTATGATGGCGCCAAAAGCGAGGAATAGAACCAAAAAAAAAAAGTAAAATGCGAGAGATATGTTAGAGGATTTTTATGTTTCTTTTAATTTTTATATGTAACGCATATTTTTTTTTTAAAAAACTAGTCGTCAAAAGTAAATTTATGAAACCCAAATTATCTTCCTTTGAGCTTACGAGAATTACGTTACTTAAGACATTCATCGAATGCATTTGATCCATGACTGATAAGATGAAGAAGAAGAAAAGTCAAGAAAACGACAAAAGTCAATTCACGCACTGATTATTTTTTACATATATTGAAATGTATTATTTTTTATTTCCTTATTTTTTCATCATATCTTATATTACACTTATTATTATTAGAGGACTTTTGTCATTTTTTTTTATATTACATTATTATATATATAAATATATTATATACAACCCCCCCTTTTTCGATATTTACAATTATTACGATTATTATGTAAGTATTATTCCGCATTGATTACGTAGCATTTGGCATTGTGAAAAAAGGGTCGATACACATGAATTACCTAAACATTATTATGTATATTATAGGCAACCTCCTTTTGTGTTCTTCCCTTTTTTCATCTGATATAAATATATTTCTTATTATCCTATTTATGTAACCGATATTACATTCTCCTTTTTTTTTCTCTAAATATTTTATTCAGTGACAAAATAAATTTTAAGCAATGCAAGTCAGAAATTTTGAAATATCTTCTGCACATGGAACATTTCACACCTACAATCCTTTTCCCCAGATACTCAAAGCATCGGCGAGGTAAGTAAATGAGAAATTCTTGATTGAATGGAATGGAAATGAAAAATGTTATAATTAAAAGCAAACATTAAGTTTATAAAATAATGATGTTATGAAGTTAATCTAAATTAGAGATCGCTTGAAGCGCTTTAATCTTCTTGTTGTACCGTCGAGAAGATTGACCGCTAACGGATTCGTATGCGAATCAATCCTGTTCGTGTATTTTTTTGAGAAATCTTTAGCAACCTTTTTCACTGTTTTTATTCCAAAGTCCTGGGGCAGTCTCTTATTGGTGATGTACCATGGTGCACCTGCCATTCTTCTAATACATTTAGATTGGATTTTTTAATATTAGTTTAGCTGTTTAGCCCATAATTGGATACTGTATGTCCAAACTGGTTTTAATATGACTTTGCACAACAGCAACTTGTTCTCCAAAGTCAACTGCCAATTTGCGCAACTTTATTTCTAGTTGTTCACACTTTGTCTGGATATGGTTCTTCCAACTCAGTCTCGTGTCCATGTGCATTCCCAAGAATCTCAACCTTGAAGATGCTGGAACTATTTTGTTCTTGAGTTTGACTGGAGCACAGGTTTCTCGTTTTAAGGTGAAAGTAACATACACCGATTTCGACTGGTTTATACCAATTCGTCATTTCCTGAACCATATCTCGAGCAGACTGAGCTCTTCTTGAAGGTGTCGAGATAAAATTATGGCATTTTCGTCTAATGCCATGATTGCTGTGTCGTCTGCAAATGTTGCCATGTTTGTTATTGGTATATCTGCAGTGTATGGGACATATACAATTGGGCCTAAGACAATACCTTGTCGAACGCCCGATTCGATGGGACACAGTTTAGTTTGTGTTTCCTCCAATTTGATAAAAAAAAACTTTCTATGTTTTCAACACTTCATAAAAAATATGTGGAAGTTTCATTTTCAACTTGTAGAGCAAACCTGTATGCCAAACTTTATCGAAAGCCTGTGACACATCAATGGACTCAACTAGTCTTTAGCACAAATCAAGTAAAATTACAAATTTTTATTTGTATTTGTTCATATGAACCCCAAATTGTTTTATTTTGATGATAATTCTTTACTCGTTGGAAAATATGATCTAAGTTTTAATGAAATTTTATCTAAAAATAATAAAAAAGGGTAAGTTTTCTTTCATCATTTCTTTATTCGTACATCAAATAACACATATCGAGTATACGTTGTACATTGGACACAAAGTTATATAATTTTTTTTTGAACATGTATATAAAATAATATTTTATTATTTCTTTTTGGTGGCAAACGGAGTTGCCGAATGTTTAAGGTCCGTCGACCGTCGTAAATAAATTTTGAGAAATATATGTATATATATTTTTCAAGTATACAACAATAACACATAGATATATATATATTTTTCTTTACATATAGAAAATACAAAATATAAAAAAAGGAACTTTGATAAATACTTGAAGACCCCCAAGAAAACTTTTGAGAATTGCAAATTGAGCTAGATCATTAAATCGTTGGCAATTTTTGTTTTCGATACAGATTTGCAGTATTACTTAAAAGCAATATTTCATTATAAATCACACCTGCATGACATTGAATTGAAGTTACAGACAGATAATTGAAGCAGGACATAAAAAAAGCGTATATAAGCAAATGTGAACATTGAATTAAGCTGATCTTTGACTGAATTATCAATTAATCAATGGTTTTGTGGTAGGTTAATGCTACAATTAAAATCTTCGTGAGATGATATTTGATAAATTCAAATTGACTAGTAAATCTTAACAGTAACATCTTTTGAATGTTGGCTTGAGTAATTGAAGGACAAGTTTTCTTAAGGATCTTGATCACAACGACGATATAGGTTTAGTTTTGGGATGTGGTCACTTGGGAGGATTGACCCTGCGGACTGACGGAGCTGCTGGACGAGTTCGGGGAGGAATATTGGATTGCGTTATCTGGGCTTTGTTCGTTCATGTGAGCTTCATATATAATGTTGTTGATGGAGTGCTTAACGCGGTACTGATCGCGACGTGGCAACTTTCTGATTTCGTGAGCGATCAGCTCTCCGTACACGTCGTATTCGTCCTTTACGGGACGAGCCCTTATCCTCTTGAAGAACTTTGGCGGTGCTATGTTCTCGTCGTGCACATTCCCATCCGATGACTGCTTTTTCTCAGAAGTATAAGCATAATTCTCGTTGCTCTCGGTCTGCTTTGGTTCATCCACATCTTCATCCATCTCCTCCGTAAACAATACTTCCTCAATCTTTACCATGTCTGGATTCACGTAATGCTCTTCATCCTGAAACAATTATACGAGTCTAATTATCTCCATTAAGTATTGAACATGTTCATCTTTAATATGAAGAAATTTCTTAATTAAACTTTATATTCTCAATAGACTATTTCCAACAAACTGGGAATTCTGTTAATTTATAATTTAACCATAAATGTTGTTTGGAAATGTTTTAAAGTTAGACAGAAAGAAGGAATGACACGGCTGTTGCAATTGGTGAATTCAAAAAATCCAATTTGATTTAGCTCAACGGTTAAAGTTAAAGCTTCGGTCAGCGTTTTTTTTTATATGCAACCGGGAAAGTTCAGTATTTCCCCTAATGGTTGTAGGATACGCATCCGTTCAAGAGATTGCGTTCTTTTTCGGGCTTAGAAATTTCAACTATGGACTGAAGAAGTACAAATATTGGTTTTGCGTTGGTGATTGCTTCCACAAAATAATCAGTTTACAGCAGTGTAAAGTGAACAAAACATTTTGTGAATAATTTACATATTGCAACAGGAGATCTTAAGGTATTTATCATATTTTCAATTGTCATTACATAAAAGTGATCAGTAAATCATAATATATTTGTTTTGATAAGTTTGGAAAGTTTGAATAACTTCCATTGCATTTAAAAAATGTCTTATATTGTGATAATTGCATTATATTTGTTTTAGTCCATGATGTCTGACATTGTGATATTGCTGCTAAATTAGAAAGGAAGAAAACCTTTGGACAAACTGTTTAATTTCTTCATGTGTTATGATGATACATTACCTCCATGTTTGTCATTTTTCTGGGGGTGTACTTGTCTTTGAGAAAGTGCAACTCTTTGAATGCAAACCACCTGGAAGTATCTTCACCAGTAGTGGACTGCAGTTTGATCCTCTCCCTGCGGTAGGATGCCAGCAGTGAGTTGATCTTCCTCTTGATCTCACTTGGAGAAGTTGAAAATATGTCAGCCAAGCTGGTCCATTCCTCTTCCCTCTTGTTGTACTGTTTATAAAAGCAGTTGCTCGAGTCCCAGAGGATGGGCTTTAAATGGTACTGCTCAATGAGTTGAAGGGTCTTCTGTATAGACCATTCCATGCTGAAAAGTGCGCTCAAAAGGGAAACTCTTGTTTATAAACAGCACAGAGCGTCGAGGTCGCAAATCGTCCCTTTACACGAACTTCATATGCGCAATGCGCGAATTATCTTTTTTTTATTTTGAAAAATCCTTTCGGTTCCGAGATTTAAATCGATATTTACGGAAGTCTCTTCAAATAGCTTCTTTATTTAATTAGTTATTAAAGTTGGTTTGCGGGTATTTTGAATTGTGCGCGCTCTTTTTTTTTTGGTCTTGTGTTGTAGCACTGTATTTATTTTTATTGTATTGTTTATTGCTTTTTTCGGTCGTGGGTTATTTGGTTGGCAAAAGTGGGAGCGATTGATTTCCGGTTACCATTTTGGGTACGCGCGCTCGCCGAGGAGGTTGGCAGTGCCGTATTGTTAATGAGCGTGTGCATCACATAATAATGGCTACGAATAATTATTTCGGCTTTACACACGGAGGAACGCAATATAGGTGAGTTAATTTTCGTACACGTAGAATTCGGGACCCGCGGGTCATCGCCGTCGCGGGCCCCGTGTCTTTTTTGGGGTCGGACCCTGTACACGTTTCGTGTCGAATCTGCTTGGTTAGGTCGGCGTCCTTGAAAGAATGGCGCCCGGCATTTTGCATGGCATGGCGCGATCAATAACATCGCCTACTCGTCCCGTCGTCTCTCTCACTTTTGCTCCGGGCCCTATGTGAATGTGTCCGTCGTGTGTCTGTGCGAGAGTCTGCCAGAGTGGTAACTTCCGTTGCCTCTTCTGCCCGAACGTCCGAAATCACCAACTAGAAAGGCTCTCCCGTAAGTTCTATGATAGCAAATTACTATACTGTCAGAACCGGCAATTTCGCGGGATCCGCTGGACCCGCCGCATTCTTCCCTCGCGGACAGCCATCACCGGCGAGGTCGGCGGATCCGGGTCATTGCAGCACCCTGCGGATCCTTATCCGCCAAAATCGCAACTCATTTTGATAGAATATTCGATAGTTCGCGAATCATACAAGACTCGGGGGAAGATGAACAGATTTGCGGTTTTTCACCTAAACGGGGGTGATCAAAAATGGCGTCTTTTCCGTTCATCCTCCAGGTGATTAACCACAAATTCTCGCTGCGAACAACCCCTTTAACCTGAGGTATTTCACAGCATTAATCGTTTGCGTATTTTCAACTTGCATTCCTGACTTGTACATCATGCACTATTAAAAAGCCGCTTTATTTTGATGTACGTTTCTAAGCTAAGACGTGATTGAATAATTCAGCACGCGATTCATTGAGCTATTTTCATTTGATTCATATCTAGCACTTTAATTCAATCCAAGTGTTGAAAATGTATGTTTGTTTCAAATAAAATTATTTTAATGAATTAACATTTAGCAGATGCAAAATATCAAAATTCTAAGATTTCATCCTATCTATATTATTTCTAAAAGATAGGTTAAAAACTTTCTTTTTTTGCTTCAATTTAATATACAAAAATTGAAAGGTTGAAATGTTACATATGATTCAAATTAATCAAAACAATTTAATTATAAAGTTTTTCTGCAAGTGAAAAATTCAATAATGTACTTTATAGAATCAATAGATAAATATTCTATTTGAGGAACTGAAAATATTTCCAGTTATCTACTGTACTTCTAAAATAAACTTACATAACTTGTTTATATGACAGAAAAAAAGTAATATTTCATGGTCACAATTGAGCAACAAATTTATTTTACAAAGTAAAATTGTTAGACTATTATATGATAGAAAATATAATATAAAATATACGACTTATAAAAAAGTCAGGAATTCTGGATTTCACGTAGTTTATATTGAACGTACTAAAACGTCCAAAAAGTATAAATTGTTTATTTGAATAGTAAGTGTTAAGCTCACACATTTATTTACATTTGAATACCAATCTACCAAAGTTATTTTTTAGGTTGTTTACTTATAACTATTTAAATACATCCATCTGCTCCTGTAGATCAAATAATGTACATGAGTATTTATGGTTTATTGGTAATTTCTTAACTTTTATTATGAGAATTCAATTTTATTACATTAAGAAAATAAATATACTCCTGATTTCTTGTGTCTTGTAACTTTAGTCTATATGACACATGAAAAACAAAAATATTTTTTCAAATGCAATTTCTATTTATACGTGCACTTGAAATGCCAAGTATTTTATGAATATTTTATTTGTAAACAAAACAAAAATCAAACTTCGTACATAACTCCTTGCATGCTATTTTTTTTTAAATTATGATGGTAATCATAAATAAATTGAACTGCAAGACTATTATGTAATAGTATGAAATAAATTATTTTTATTGTTAATTAGCCTAATGCTTGGCAAGTTTTGTCCAATACAAAACATTGCTTTCAATTAGGCTTATATCAAATAACCAGTTGAGTTTATCTACAGAATTTACCTTTTAAACTATAGTTTTATTCTGTAATCCAAAAACTCTGTACATTCTTTCATACATTAGCTTTGTAGTCATTCACTACTAATTGAATTTTAATATCTCATAGAAATTGCTTGAATTTTCTTCTATACATACAATGCGAGGGAAAATTGCTGCCGGTGTTTTATATCGATTTCGCTATAAGATATGAATACCAATTGGAATACTATTTACTAGTAGATAGTATTTTTACTGTGCAATAGTAGTAGGAAGTAACCAAATGCAATGATATATTTAAATGATTAGGAATTTCTGTTTCAGTGCTGCCGCCGCCGCTGCAACAGGAGCTGCATATCAAGCCGGACAGGCAGGTTACGCTGTAGCCGCCCCTGCAAGCGCCGCCGCTGCCGCCACATACGGCACCCAGCGGCCCACAGGCTACGAAACAGCATATCAAGCTGCCACAACGCCGGCAACTTATGCTGCAGTCGGAACAGGAACAACTCCAGCTTACGAGTACGGATACGGAAGAGCAGCTGCAGCAACTACCGGTTACGACGCTACCAAAAGTTACTACCAGCAGGCGGCTACGGGCCAATCAGCCACTGGTTACACCACAGCCTATGATCAAGCTGCGGCAGGAGCTAAGCAAGCGAATTATGCAACACAGTACACTCAGAGGAATCCCGCACAGCAACAAACACAGGCGGTACGTTCTACAAGCTTATTTATCTCTATTTTGATCAACATCAATCAATCATTTATATGCAAGGAGAATTTCTGCTCATATTATCCCATATATCTGCAGGCCAGACACCATGCAATATAATATAGGAAAACAAATATCATTTTACTTTGTTTCAATTTAAACATAGTAATTTAAAATTTTGTTTTCCTTACATTTCATTTATAATCACTCACATTACATAATTAGATATTGCATTCATAAATATGTATTTGTTGTCATTAATACTAATGCATGTCATTAGTTGTTTCTATTAATATATTACTGTTTATTTGGAATAATTTTCTTAACGTATTCCACAAATTATTGTCAAAATAAGTTTATGCACAAAAAGAGTTTTCACCTAAACGGACGACAAAACGAGCCTTCTGCTCATTGCGCCGCCCGTTTTCGTGAAAAGTCGGTTTGTGTCGTATTTATAAATTTCTTTATCTTCAAAGATATTTTGTACTTATACTGTATTTGGCTTTTAACATTAGAATAGAAAAATCGTCTTACTTTGTGGTCTCTAATTATGTTTTAATATATAACAGCTTAAATTTTCTGACAATTTACTTCCAAGTAAGTCTGGATGATTCTTGTTCACTTTTTCAATCTCGTTTATTGTCAAATTAAACTACATTTAAATATTTGTTCTTGATTTCAAATCAATTATCTAAGTTGAAATTTGCATGAATTATGCTTTAAAACAAAACTTTCTTAAGGTTCGGTTAAAGTAGAGTATCATGATGTTGTAATCCCACGTCTCATTATTATCTAGTTATTTAATTGTAAGATCTGTGTTAATACAAGCTAGTTCACAAGATATTTAAAATCTGTATTCAAGTTGTATGTATGTGCATCAATAGGTCAAATATTTTGGTATGCTATATATATAGATGTTTATATTTATATTATTATTTTTTATTGGGTCATCTAAACTTGAAATTCGTAGGTTTCGTCTATTTTTGTTGCCAAAGACGGTGTGTGTGACATCTTAATGGCTTGACGTCTCGGTAATTTCAACAGTGTGCCTTAGTTTCTACTTAGGAGCACCCGTTTTAATCACCAAGTCGTTTAGGTTGTTAATTCGTCGATCTTACTGCGAATGGCACAATGCTACTTAGCTGACTTATGGATTTCTAAGCGTTCTACTAACAACCTCATTCGTTCTGTATGCTTCAACTTATTAACCACTGAAGATAAATACAGTATATACTCGTATTTAATTAGATGTTTGCTTTTTTAGACTGTAAGTGCAAAGCCAGCTCAGTATAGTGGAACCTATCAGGCAAACGCGACTGGTTATCAAGCGTCTTATGCCCAACCTGCTGCTGCTCAAACGACGATAGCAGCCCAACCGACGACACAAGCCAAACGTATGCATTAAACTTTCCTATACCTTCACAATATAGAGTCTACGTCTACTCGCGTTTAGATTAGGTTGTGTACATAAGACACATTTTTATAGAAACAAATTCAACTACGTATTCAGGTTACGACGCCGCCTTATATTCCGCAGCAACCATGTATGTTGCACAGCAATCGAATCAACAAAAGGCCGGAGGTTGGCAAGGGTACAAAAAAGGCGGGGGCGGGCCGAAGAATATGCGGGCCAAGGCTCCGCCCAAACCACAACAGTTGCACTACTGCGAAGTATGTAAGATTAGGTAATAATCATCGTACTTATCTATTCTTCAGCCTTGCTCATTCTTTTATTTTGTTACAGTTGTGCTGGTCCTCAGACCTACAGAGAACATTTGGAAGGGCAGAAGCACAAGAAAAGGGAAGCTGCCACTAAAATGACAGCCTCTCCAGCTGTTACCAATCAAAACAGGGCAGGGAATTCTTTACGTTGCCAATTATGTGATGTTACATGCACTGGTAAGACTATTTCATCTATTGGAATTTGTTATTAAATTTAAGTTGAAGTCTAAATTTTCAAGTATAATAACTGTAATGAAAAAAATAACTTTATATTATTACAAATATTCATACACATGCAAGGAGAATTTCTGCTTATATTATTAAATATATTTGCAGGCCAGACACCATGCAATATAATATAGGAAAGTGAATTAAAATTATAGTTGCATTATAATATGAAACAATAAATATTTGCAATCCTTACATTCTAAATTTTCAAAATAATTTGTATTCAACCAAAATAAATGTATTTATTAACATGCATTTATTAATGTATAATTAAAAAAAAAAACATTTCTAACGCTGTGTTTTCGTTTTACAGGGAATGACGCTTATGCTGCTCATATAAGAGGATCAAAGCATTCAAAAGTTGTAATGCTGCACACAAAGTTGGGAAAGCCAATCCCGCCGCAGGAACCGGAGGTTATTGGTGGCCCCAGGAAGTCCGTTTCGGCAACACCAAAAATAAATTTCGTCCAATCTGGCGGCTTGGGCGTGGCCCCTGGAAACGGAGAGATCAAAGACGAGGAGATCGATGACACACCCGAACCTGATATTCAGCCAGTTGGTCAAGATTACATTGAAGAGATCAAAAGCGAAGACGGCAAGGTAAATTATAGATACAGATGATGCTTCGGATTACTAATACAAATGGTAGCCTGATGCTTGGCAGTTAATGTTACAAAGCAATACATTACTCTGCTTTCAATTGGGCTTATATGAACTTTTGAGTTTCTTCATAGAACATACGTTATGTAAATCGTATGTTCTGGAGATTCTCAATACAGTCTTAATTCTGTTTCACTTTGAAGCATGTTAAATTTGATTTTCTTATAATATTAAAATATAGCAATTATGTTTATTTTGTTATTCAGGTAATTAGTTTCAATTGTAAATTATGCGAATGCCGTTTCAACGATCCCAACGCCAAGGAAATGCACATGAAGGGGAGAAGACATAGACTACAGTACAAAAAGAAGGTGAATCCGGATCTCGTGGTGGATTTGAAGCCGTCGCTTCGGCAGAGAAAGATGCAGGAAGAAAAGATGCGAAGAGCGGTAAGTCTAAAATGTCGTTTAAATTAATCGTATGAATGGCAATTAGTATCCCTCTGCCATCAACATTCAATTTGAGGTAGAGTTTTAGGATTGTCTAGAAAAGCTGTTGAAAACGATTTATAATCTCTTTTAAGTTAAGGATTTATTAAAGGAGATTTTGATACTTTCACCTACAATATTGTTTTCATTTTTTATAATTATATTTATTTTTGATGTATTTTATATCAATATGTTTATGTTCCTATAGGCTTTACGTGAAGAATATTGGCAGAGAAGGCATATGGCCGCTGAAGATGAGGAAGAAAGGATGTATTGGGAGGAGCGACGCAGGTACGAAGAGGATTACATGGAATGGTGCCGCCGAGGAAACATGGGACCTTTCCCGAGAGGCAGACCACCATTCCCTGGAAATGCACCACCACCAGTAAGTTAACCTTTTGGTTATATATAATATCCGACATACACGTTGTTATGTAAATTGAGGTATCATTTAAATAATAACGCTTTCAATGAAAGTTGTCGAAGAACAAATATTTGGAGGGAATTCACACTATCTTTGCCATATTATACTGGTATTGACGGTTTTTGCGCTCTCAGACATTAATGGATAAAGCAAAGTTTAACAAATTTTAATTATCCTTCCTCTTACTAGCACAATTAATAAGGAGCTTATTGTTTTTCAATTTATTAAATGGACATTGTTACTTTTTTATTTATAGTTTTATCAGGGTCCACAGATAACCAGACGCATCGAGTCCAATGACGACAGACACGTGATGTCACATCACTCGGATATCTATCCGAAGGAAGAGGAGTTGCAGAACATCCAACGGATCGTGTCGCATACCGAAAGGGCATTAAAAATCGTCTCCGACCAAATGGCCGAAACTGTGAAGCCCAAGGAAGAAGTTGTGAGTCCGGCCAATAGTAGTCCAGCTAATACCACCGTAGTTGTACCTGCACCCCAAGCAACGGCGACAAGCCTCCAGGAGGATAAGGTCGATGAGCCGATCGAACAAAAGGAAGACGGCAGGGACAATCAATTGTAGGTTTTATTAATGTGTTACGCAACGGTGTCTATAACAAAGATGTTGTTGCAATAGGTTTTCATTCCAACGAGAAGATCGCGATGTTAACCGGACATTGAAGGGAGTCATGCGTGTAGGACACCTCGCCAAGGGACTACTGCTTCAAGGAGATACCAACGTCGAGTTGGTCGTTCTATGTTCTGACAAACCCACCCTGACGCTGCTGAGAAAAGTCGTCGAGATGCTTCCGGCCGCTTTGAAGCAGGTCACAACTGAGCATATCTACAACGTCACCATAAACGCAGCTGAAGCCGGTTTCACCGTCACCGAGGAAGCGCTTACGGTGCTCGTACAACTTACGAGTCCAGTAATGCGTGAGCAAGGTTAGATTTTGAGCGTGACTGAGATTGGTATGATTGGTATACAACAGTACTTAACTGCGGCGGGGTTTAAGCTGACGACTCAGATTGCAGTAGTTTTAACTTTTTTTGGTTTCGCTTGAATAGCCGATTTTTTATTTATTTTCTATGATTTATTTGAACAAGGAAATCTGAACAGCTTAAACCTTGATATAATTTATAATAAATATTGGACTTTTTCTAGCTGACCGAAATTTATAAAAAAAAAAATAATGCTGGAATTGCTCACACCTTGGGTACTTTCCGATCGACGAGTAGTTTTTTCTCTTTAGTTTTGGTAAAATGTTTCGTAATGTTTTTTTTTAATTTATTTTTTTCTTGTCTAATTAGTTGTGTATTTTTCTCATTCTTACACCATTTTCTCAAATGGGTATTTGTTTGGCAACGATTCCGTTTAGGGCGTGTTCTTTTTTTGACAGATTGGTCCAATACTTATGTAATATCCCAATGTACTGTGCCTGTTTAGAAGTGATTTTAGGTGGTGTGGGATAAGGATTTTTGACCAACCGGCACACCGCCCCTGCAACGCACAATCAATACCAACAACTACAAAAATAAGCTCCGCTGATAATTCCCTCTTTCAACCGTTATCATCCTACACCTTGCCAACTTCCCTGTAGATCTTTAAGCATTGGTTGGTTGTGCGGAATGCAGATGTGATGTGCACGATGGTCAAACACCCTTTGTCTATGATGTCTAGAAGCTGCGAGCGGCGGGTTGGACCGGGATGTTCTCGCACGCGGCAAGTGTCTCCAGGCGCTGGCAGCCCTCAGACATACCAAATGGTTCCAGGTTTGTGTCTCTTCTCACACCGCGCAGCTTCGCGTCTTTTAAATTTAATTTCTCATATAATTCAAATATCACGAACAAAATTAACTACTACTCTCCTAACCTACGATGTGATTTCTTAATGATTAATCAATTCTCACATAACGTTTTTAGTAATCAATAGAGACAATAATTTATATTTAGTTTTAGGGAATCGGAGATTATTCCAGTTTTTTTAATTTCATTACTTTCATTATTAGCACACGAACAAAAAAAGCATTGCCTTCTATTCCCTGTAGTTGTATTGTTAATTATTATTCAAACGAAATTTTATAGCCTGTTTTATCTAATATATGCAATTATTTAAGATCAATCACATCCGTCCATGGTTAGGGTTTTCTATTAATTTTACTACTTTTCGAGAGTCCTACGATTTGCATTTTATTTCTCATTCAGTACATTCTGCTCGTTAAAGGAGCGTTCTTTTTATTTTCATTTTAAGAATCCACTTGCAGTAGTATAGGACTCTCTTTTATTTATTAGCTCCGAGCTGTTCCTTGCTTTCATTATTTAATTGATTGATGTTTTAGGCTAGGGCTTTAGGATTGCACTCTTGTGTTGTGATTATTAGGATCTTGAGAGATCTTTGCCAAAGAGTTCCTACCTGGGCCCCATTAAGTCCTTGGGTGAGTAAACCTAAACTTCCGCACTATTTTCCATTATTAAAGACTGGTTTTCGTTAGGCCATGGAATTGCTCGTTGAAAAAGTGATTTCATCCACGCCTGGAGGAGTACAGTTGTCGCCTGGAGATGCGTTGCGCAGAGTGATGGAAGCCGTCGCCGGAGGACTTCTACTACCTGGAGGACCTGGTCTTGGAGATCCATGCGAGAAGGACAGTCCAGATGCAGCAGCAGCCCTTACTTCGCAACAGAGAGAGGATCTCACATGTTCGGCGCAATATGCGCTTAGATTAATTGCTTATAGGCAAATATATAAGGTAGGTTGTCACCAAGATTCAAAAGTTAAATAAATATAATAACTTTTTTTTTCTGTTTAATAGGTTTTAGGAATGGATCAATTGCCCATTCAACAGAAAGTATTCCGTCGTGATAGTAGATCTGCCCGTAAACGCCGTCGCTCTGGTGGCGAACAGCCTGATTCAGAAAGTAATGACACTTATATTAATCCAATTACAATGTTATTAAATGTAATCGTTTTTAGGTGACACGGGAAAAATGGTGAAAACCGAAGGAGATTCCGCCCCCGCGCCTGAACCTGTGGTACCACTGAAGTGATTGAAGATTTAAGCACTGAAAATGTAGCCTATTAATATTTATGAAGCTAATTAATTCCTATAAACGTCTCTAATTTAGTAAAAAAAAAGTCAGTTTATTTAAGTATGGGTATTATTATTACAAAACTAAAACAAACAAAACAAAAAAAAAGAAACTTTTTTTTTAAATAGAATTAGTACTTGATTTAATGTAATTTATTTATCTTGGATACAGAAGACGAGAATTTAGTCACGAGATTTTTCTTTTCTTTAGATGTGTATATAATTAAATCAGCAGAACTGTGTAATTTGTGTGTTCAAGTCCAGAAAAACGAAAACATAAAGTATGTATATGAGTAAATTTAAATCATTTTCTTACGAATGAATTGTGAATTTCTTTAATATGAAATATTTGTATTATGGAATTTTGTCCGGACGGACAAATGTTGATGATGATCTTTTGGATTGATGTTGAAGCAAACTTATGCGATGCTCGTCCGCTATTTAGTTTTTTTTTTGTTTATTATGATGTTGTCTTTTCTTTTCTATGATCGATGTTCTCAATGGTATTTATTTTCTATTACATAAATTAGCACTACAGTATGTGTATCTACAAATTACTGTTTCAAATTGTATTCATATCGGTTTTCTTCTTTATACTACACACCTTTACAACTCTGTCTCCCAGTCGTTTTTTAAGATTAAATAAGAAGACTTCAGTGGTTCGAATAAAATTGTAAATTAGTGCCGTATATTGTATACAGTTTCTAGTATTTGTAATATATATTTTGAATTGCAACACTTTTCTCACTTATATGCCTTCAATTCCTTATTCACATCTTCAATTTCAAATTCAATATTTATGGATATTTTTTGATATTAAATCTCAATTTACAAAACATTAATGCAAGAGTAAAGTAACATACAACATTTATATTCGTAAATCCCTTCTACGTTACGTTAATTGAGGAATTACTGTATTAGGTTATAATAGTTAAAATCAGATGGCGCCAGTCTACAAAATAAACTTAACGTCAAAATATAACCAACAAAATTATATACCAAAATATTTGTTTATAAAGCAACGCAATGTCGGATTTCGAGAGAGGAAAATATTACAATAAGAAAAAATATTCCAATAGGGTAAATGAATAAACTAAATTGTATTCCATTGACTTATCATCAATTTTACATAGGATCGAAATGAGTCCAAATCATCCTACAACAACAGGTTCTTCAACAAGAGCATTTACAATCCAGACAAAGATGGAAATGATGGAGGTGATAAAAAAATGAAACAACCACAAATCATGATCAAAACCAGGGATAAAGCAGAAGAACATGCAACTTCACCTAAGGTTGTACAGAAAGAGATTGCAGAGGTGGCTAGTAAACCTGATGGTAATATCAAATTAAAGCTGTTATAAGAAAAAAAACTAATAATTACACATTTAGTTGTTAAAAAGGACATGACAAAGTCTGCAAAACTGTTGGAGGATGGATTTTTCTTTGCTGACGATGTGCAGGAATTCTTGACTGATAATTCAGACTTCCTGGTTGTTGGAATTGTTGGGCCACAAACTGTAGGCAAATCCAGTATTATGAGTTTCTTGGCCAGTGATAAGTTTTCAAAGAAGTTTCAAAACCAATTTCAAGTAGCAGTATATATAGAATTTTCATTTTTTATTACAAATTTATTAATCTATGTTTTTCAGGAAAATGCAATGTGCCATAAGCATAATGATGTTGAGGCAATGTTTAGACAAGCAACTACTGATGATATTGAAACCTTAACAAACGCCACAAGTGGCATCGATATTTTCATTACTGAAAATAGAGTAAGTTTTTTTTGATTCAGGCAATATATACAAGATAATTTATAAACTTGTTTTAAGTTAATCTTGTTGGACTCGCAACCGTTTCAATCTGTATCCGCGGAAAACGCTGGAGAATTGCAGAATTTGCAGCACGTTGCATTCCTGATGAGCGTTTGTCATCTGTTGATTTTCACGCAGGATTTCTTTTTGGATATTAACCACGTCAGGTAATCAATGTATTCTAGTTATAGAATAATTTGAAATTATTGAATGGTGACTTTGATACTCCTCCATTTAAACTGTGCTTGGCACAATTTCGCGAGTTTCGATACTCGAAATATTGATTCAGTTTAATTACACAAGTTGTTCATTTTTTGACCTTTCATGGTTTTTGTATTGAAATAATATTAACTTGAGTTCATATGTGCAAATGATCAACAAACATAACATAAAATATTCAAATATTGAATGTAGTAAGGATCTTTAAGGTCAAAGTTTCTTTAAGAATTGATCTTTTATACTGTATATCTTAATAGGTTTCTACAGACAGCAGAAATGTTAAAGCCTACAATCTCAAATAACGAGGAAGAATATTCGGAGCAATTCCCGCATTTGATGTTACTCCACAACAAAGCTCAGTTGGAAGACTTTCAACCAAAGAAATTTAAAATTATGCAAAATGTAAGTACTAAACATTTTAAAAACATAGTTTGTGATATCTGTATTATTATTTTCAGTTCTATAAAGAAATCTTTAAAACTAGTAAGATGAATCTGCAATCAGGTCTTGGAATGCACAATACCAAGAACACGGGTTCGATGAAGTTGGACGAACATGTTGAGAACTTTAATTTATTTTTGTTGCCAGATCTGAATGATGCCAATCCAAATGGTTCGTACTGCAAATGATCTTTTTATTCAGATAAATAATCTTAATGCATTTCTTTGGTAGATTTGACAAAGTTTGAAGAACTTATTAAGATATTAAGGAACAATATCAGCGGTTTGACTAAACACGCGATGACTCATGTGCAGCTAACCGAAAAGACGTGGTTGGTTTATGGCGCGAAGGCTTTTGATCACATCAAGAAATCTACATTTTATTTGGAATATAAAAAATTATTGCCCTGAATGCATCATTACGATGTTATGCTGTATGTATAAGAAAACGTGTATCTGTGTTTATAAGAAAGAAACTAGTGAATTACTTAAAATAATTTTATTAAATTTATTTTAAAAAATATAAACAACAATTTAGTTTTGCCAAAGTCTGAGTACTTTGTCTTTGCCACCTGACACGACCCTCGCTCCATCCGTCGACCAATCGACGGCGAACACTTCGTCCGCGTGTCCAGGTAAATCAATTTCCAACTTCTTGTTCTTGATATTCCACAGCTTCAATGTAGAATCAGCGCTGCCGCTGACCATCAATCTGGAATCCGCTGAAAATGCGACCATGTACACAGCCTGCACGTGACCTCGCAGAGTGCAAATGAACTTCCCGGTCTTAGCTTCCCACAGCCTTATAGACTTATCGAAAGACGCCGAAGCGAGGACTCTTCCATCAGGAGAGAATTTAACGTCATTCACTAATTGCTGATGTCCGGTCAACCTAGCCAGAGGTTTCTTTTCATTCTCCGGGTCCCATAAGAATAAAGTGAAATCATCGGAGCCGGAGACTAAACGCTCTCCGTTTGACTGTACAACATCGTTGTACCTCTTAAGCGCGAACTCCTTCAGCTGCGCTTTCTTCATTGTCCTGACTTGTTGGTTGTTCTTAACCGGATCGAAAGGTCCTATCCTATTTATGTAATCTGTATTCAGTGCCAGCGTATTCACCCAATGACCGTGACCCAACAGAGTCCTGCACATAACACCATCGTTGCTCCTCCAAACCTTGATGGACCTATCTTGCGAAGCCGAGTAGATTAAATTGGAGCCACCCCAACGCACCACAGTTACACAGGCTGAGTGTCCAGACAGTACCCTCACTGTTGACCCAAGGATGACATCCCATATCCTAATATCTCCATCCTTTGAAGAACTAGCCAGATATCTAAAATGGAATAAATTTAGTTATAACAGATCAATGATAATTTATTATACAACAAACCTGCAATCACTGTTTTGATGGTAAGGCTCCCAGCTTAAAGCAGTTATCCATTGCTTATGACCACTAAGCACTTTCCCTAACTGCTTCCCAGTCTGTGGGTCCCAGATCATAATTTTACCATTCTTACAGCCTGAAGCCAATTTACTGCTGTCTGGAGCCCAGGCAATGCAGAGCACCCAATGATTATGCCCCTGGCATGTGAAGTGTGGTGTTTGTGTGTGCACATCCCAGAATCTCACAGTCTTATCTCCAGATCCACTAGCCAAATGCTTACCATCTGGACTGAAACTCACTGATATAACAGCCTCTGCATGCCCTGGCATGGAACTTGTACATCTTGTTACAGGTCTGACCTTAAATACTGCTTGTTCTTCATATACAATATCAATAACATCTTCTGTGTTAAGTTTTGTGGGATCCAGTGCTTTGATTAGGGTGGCTGTGATTTCCTTTTCGTTGACAAAGAACAGGTATGGGGTTTTCTCCTCGTTTTGTAAAATAGCGTTACAGATGAGCCCCAGCTGCTCCACGTTGCAGTCCACAGGAAGATCCAGCATATCACCAACTTTGTCACCATTTTCAGAAACGAAACGGCACAGGAGCCGCTTCGTATCCTCAACCTCCATCTCCTCACCCATTTTCAAACAACTGCAGTAACTATGTAAACTTAACCTATCTTAGCACGTGTTCAATCAAAACATTACAGTTGACAGCTAAAGTCATGGGCGTAGTTATGCATTTCATTTAATAGTATCATGGGCGTACACCTAGATTTTTAGAACTGGAACCATTATTCATAACATTAGCAAAAGTATACTTTATATTTAATTAATTTTAAAATAAAACTATTTTACTATAATATGTTGCTATATTATGAAATAATTTGTTATACAATAACAACACTGATGACAGATGTTAATGGTTAACACTATTAGTATGCAACCAAATATACGTAAATAATCGCTGCTAATTCCACAAAATATAGAAACACTGCGGGAAAGTTTAACTAAGTTATTTTTAAGCAATCATATACATTTTAACTTTATTGCGAATTGCGCTAAAATATGTCCTAGTTCTTCTGGTAATGTTTAATAACAATAGCATTCTTGGACCATCTTTTGTTTAACAGTTTTCTAATTATTTTGGGAATATAGTTATAATTTATAAACTAATTTGCTCGTATTAAGTCTGATGAGATTGTGTATATTATGTTCTATATTATTAGCGCTTTCTTTCTTGGAACATTATTTATCATGTTAAAAGATCGTAGCAATCAACATGGTCGTCATATTTTACTTACACATATTCAAGTTATTTCATTTCTAGTTTTACTTATGTAGTACTAACATTTTTTAAATTTTTATTTTTCAGATGAGACAATTTTCAAATACGCTTCTTCATTATTCTTTAGGCCTTTTCTAATACATTTAGCCTGCGTTGCATAGACACAATTTCGACAGTTCTGTTTGTAGAGGTAATAAAACAAATTGAGAAAAAATCCAGGGATTCTGATGATAAGAGCAGTGGATCAATCTCTGGTAGGTTCATAAGTTTGAATACTGATGATTTTCGACGGTAGCTTCTTCCTGGAAACTGGTTTAAATTTCTTGTAATTAGGCAACCATCAACTCCGTAATCAATGTTTAATGTTGTTGTAGCGTGGCAAATAAGGATTGTTGCTAACGCTACCTTAGAAAGGATTGCGCAACAACACTTCCTTGTCCATATGGTTGTCTTCGGAGGTAGCTGAGGTGCTGGGGTCCTTCAGTTTTTCGATTGTTAATGCGTCTTTTTTAGTTGTTGGCGTTGATGCGCCGGGGCGCTGCAGGTGCGCGCATTGCAAGCGTCATCCGACGTCAGATTTCGTCTGTCGTTGGTAGGGGATGAATGTGTGGGACAAGGAGAAACAGTGAGTTTTCTTTTGCAAATAAACAGCATTGCTTGCCTTCGGCATTAGTTAAACAATTGATAAATCAATCTTGATGTTGGTGGTAGTGTCGGGTGGCCGATTTGATGAGCCCGAGTAGCGCGCTCGAGGATGGGGTCAGCGGTGAGCAGGGAGGACGCTGAGGATGAGCCCGACGACGACCTGTCCAGCAGCAGGAGGGCCTCGCAGAATTTCGTAAGTCAAACACTTCTTCAATGAAAATTTGGAAATGAAAAAATAAATTAAAAAAAAATAAGCTAAGGGTTGCTGCATGTGCATGCATGCAGCGTGGTGAATGCTGCACGGGGTGGCGCGCATCCACCGACCGACGACACACAATAACAAAATAACGATTTGCCTCCTTTGGCGAATGCATCTTATGCAACCGGAGGAGCGCGACCGCGCCATTTCGCCAATCGGGTGGGAAATTCGAAAGGAAATTCCAAATATATACACTTGAATATTGATGACATCATCTACGTTCAGTTTATTTAAACCTAGGGCTTTGATAGATGTAGTTTCCTTATAATTGGCTAAAAACATGTAGAAAATGCGGAAGGAATTATATTGACAAATTCAAAAATTTACATTTTTTTGTCTTCTCCATATGTGTCTTCCGTATATACAAACTAGACGATTTGACTTATTTAACAAGAACACACCTTATTCTGATATCATTCATTCAAAGATATACCAATTTTATGACTTTAAATATTCCCTTGATGTATCCGTACAGATCAATAACTTGTTAATTAACCTCAATTAATTGGCATCAAGTACGTTGTTATTTATAATTTATTGAAATGTAATCTCAAATTTATATTTGTCAACAAATATATTTGTTGCCAACATTATTTATCATCTTATCTTCACGTCTTCCAACTTAACATTATTTATCATTGTTAATGTTTTTATAACATTTTTTTACAAAAATATAACATAATAAACTTAAAAAGAAAACATCTGGTTAAAAGATGTTTTTTCTTGAGAAAATAACAATTGTATTATTTGAAAATAACTGCCTCTAAGCTATGTGAATAGAAAGACTTATAACAATAGGAGGTTACATATGTTCTGGATAGGTCTTAAAAACCTTTTTAGAACGTTTGTATTACAAGAAGGACAAGTTTATCGAATGTAACAAATATGCACATACTTTCTTGAAGATATTAATTTTAAATTATTAAATATAATTCAATATCAAAATTACAGAAATTGTAAATGAGATTTGTAAAACAATCAAATGATATAATTTTATTTAATATTTTCAATTTACAATTAACTCCATTTTTATTTATATGTTAAACCAGCGTTTCTCAACATTGTTTGTTTGTAGTTGTAATGCGATCCAATTGTTAATAACATAAAATTTAAAAGAAAATTTTATAAATATCGATAAAAACTAAGAGTATTTCAACAATTCCTGGCTTTGAAGTAAGGTGACAGGTGTCACCATTAAAAATTTGATCCATAGGTTGAGAAACACGGTGTTAAAGTGCACCAGAAATATATAAAACATATACATATCAAGGTATATTATTAAAAAAAAAAAGTATATCTAATTCATAAAAAAAAACATATACAGTGGAACCTCGCTTAACGAGCAAAATAACTTGTAAGAAAAATGACTCCAAAATGGAACGCATTATCGTATATTACATTAGTTTATATGGGGTTTATTGTTTCACTATACGAGTAGAAATTGGAACGCAATTTTGGAACGGATTATGCTCATTAAGCGAGGTTCCACTGTATTTTATTATATAATAAATCATTACCTTTTATAGTTGAAAGGTTAATTGTCATTTTGAAATTATTTCATTTGCAATCAAATTGTGTATTTTTATTTACTAATATTGGTTTATCTAAAAATAAACATAATGTACGGTTAATTCATTCAATGAACCACGAAAACGAGTAATTAGTGTACATCCTTTAGATTTTGTTTTAAGATTATTCCAAAACATCATATGTTTTTAATCTAAAATGAAGTACTCATAGACTCATAGTAAAATGAATTTTAGTTAATTTTCGGCAACCTTAGAAGAATCTGACCCAAAACGTGCTTGCAAAAAAATTGCAAAATTTATTAAACAAAATGCACTAACTTAAACTAATGAAAACATTAGCAACTACAACTTATTTTCAAATTATTAGTTGCGATCGATTTACATTGGAAACGTAACACCAAAACCAATTGGATTCATCTCAACGCTTTTCGACGATGGCCGTGATAGGACTTTTATAAGAAACTTTCAGTTGAATACATGACCCAAATATCAAATAAAGTTCGTTCGGCAAATGGATGGTATCTCCTCGGGTAGTAGTGCTTAGGATAGTTTGAAAACTGATCAGTTGAAGCATGATTTCAATTAACATATTTGAAATGCAATTATTTCCTCTATATAATCTATATTAATAATATGTAGCATCCAGTTTGTAAAAACTTAATCAATTTATGAATTAAGCCATAAGCGTTATTACGCTTATCATATAATAAAACAATAAAGTAAATAAATATATGCGCATCCAATAAAACACTCTAAATATTTTGTTATTGCACTTATGCATAGGTATTATATAAACGTGTGTTTAATTGATAAGTCTCCTTAATAACCATAGAAACACAGTAGAGACTTTAAATTCTTACAGCATGAATAGTTTAACTAGGTTTGTAATTTAACCTTGTATTTACTCTTAATCTTTATAAACAGATTTAAGTTCTAGAATTTTGTTTCTAATCCTAATAGTAATCACAATTAAAGTGTAAATGGGTAATTATCCTCGGGAGAATACATTTGAGCTATTACTCAATGCTATACAAACTATTTGGAACTTGAACAATCCATAACATGTTCCCAGAGGACTGTCGATAATCACGATGTTTGGTCTACGTACTGTTTACAGTCCCATAAGGATTTTGAGTTGAATATGCTTATACAGATGTAGATTATTATTATTGTACATAAAATACAGATTCAGGTCAACATTTTCGTATTGGGATTTTACATTTTTAGTTAATACTATACTTTGTAAAAAAATCAAGGTTAAAAGTTTTTTTAAATTTTCTACTAAGAAAAGTAAGAAATATTTACTTATTGTTGTCTAAAATCAAACTTATACTATATTTAGATAAATGTACAATGAAATGACAATAAAGTGAAACTGTAATAATCACGCTTTACTGTCCATTAATCATAAAGTGTTAGTTGTAAATCAATCACGTACAATCGAATCGAATGTCAGAAACAACTGACCAAGTTTTGGGAGGGAAACGTCAGTGAATCACGGAGTTCTTGCGAAGTAGGTGAAGCTTGTCGGCAATAATAATTGCATAGCAAATAAGTGTATTTCCAGTCACATGCAGTACCACGAAACATTGATACATTTATGAACATATAAAATATGATTTCAAATTGAAAAAGTTTGCATTTTTTTGTAAATTAAACTTTTGTTTATTAAATTTTTAAGTGTTTATTATTTATTGTTATTTCTTGTAATATTATTTATGTTAATAAATGTAATAATTGTTCAGTTATATCTTTTATTTGCACCTGTTTCTTGTCACAGATTCCAACCTTTTTAATTCAATAAATATGTGTTTTTATATATTATTTTTGTCACAATTGCATTACGAAAATTAGTTTAAGTTTGAATTAGTGTAAGGTAAGGTTCAACAGAAATGAAGCAAGTCGTAGTTTTATTTAGTGTGAAATATCGGAAGTCGAACTGTTTAAGGGTCAATAAATATTTCAGTACTACGTTTTCCGCAGCGCTA